ACAGTATTTTCAATATACCTACTTCTGGTCCTACTGCTTGCTATAGCACAGTTAGACTGGAATCATCTTCTACGGGAATCTTCAGAAGGCCGTCGTCAACAGCAGGCATGCTCATGACTCCCCTCACCTTCACTATGGAATTTTTTGAACCAAAATTTTGAGCCAAGGCTGTGCTGCGCTTTTATTGGTGCTTCCTTGGCCCCATTCTTCAGTGTTATTTCGACAGGTCTATGAAGCACTACTTCAGAGTTTCAGCACATCGAAAAAAACTTGCCCAAACCACTGTCCTGACACCTTTAGTTCAATTTTTCAAAGAACCCCAAGATAACTTATAAAAAATTCATATCCACTGCAGGAAAGAAGATAGATAGGCTTGTCAATGATATAAAGGGCATAGGTCTGAAAGGGAAATTTTAGTATAAAAATATTCCATGTAATCATGACATCTCGAAACCCGCATTACTTCCCGAACAACCTGATAGTTGTTGTATCTATCATCTGAATGGAGCGCTTCTGATAGAATTTTAACTTTTCTTGTCTTGCCTTATTTTTGCAATCGCTGTGCAATTTCGCATGTAGTAATAGCTTCCCACATGAATGCGCTATTCGCAAACTGAATAGTTATAGAATCACTTGAGTGTTATGAGATGTTTGTGTTCCAGCAAAATCCTATTGATACGTCCGAAAATGGCTTTGTGTGATGATGATGTTTATCGGGAAAGTAGGTGGTTTGTGAGGTGGACCAAGCCATTGTCCACGGTTCCGTTTCAGCTTGATGAAAGCATGGGATTCGAACAGGCATGATGCTTCTATCAATAGATTATTTCACATCCTTGACGATGCTGTACTGATTTTCAGAAAACAGTTCCATTTGGAGACGGGATTTTGTATTCTGCCGACAAAGTCAGTATTGGCTTTGAAATTTGTGAAGAGCTATGGTCTGCTCGTTCGTACGTTTCTTTAACTTTTCACGCATGCTGTAAACCGCATCTGCTTAGTTTTTAGGCGACATTTAGAACTAGGATTACGTGGAGTAGATATTATATGCAACGGTAGCGGTAGTATGCATATCCTCGGAAGATCTAATTACCGAATCAATCAGCTTATTCTCGGTAGTAGTTACAAGGTTTGTTTATCAACAGAAGGCCGATGTCATGGTTTGCGAATCGATTTTTTAGCGAATCGCTGGATTCGAGCGGCGCCAGCGAATCGAACGTTGCACCAGCGAATCGGTCCCGCGACTATTGAGTCACTCGTACATCGTTCCACCTTGTGCATCGGTCATTCGCTGGCGCAAAATTCAACTCGCTGGGTTTGTTTGTTTTGTTTTGCGATTCGCTAGTGAATCGCTCGAATCGCAAACTATAACGTCGGCCTCAGTCTATTGACATTTTGAACGAACATTCTCTTATAGACTGGAGGTATTTACCTATTCAGCAACCATCGTGGTTGTGATGGTGACAGGGTTTACTACGATGGATCCTCGTCAATCGCTCAGAACGGGAAACTGTATGCGCAAATTCATCAGTTCGATATTGAAGATACCGTATGCAACCCGTCTTATATTATGCTTTTTTCCCGCCTTCATGCGCCCTTTCCTGAAAACGTTCTATTACAGTGTGTGGCGACAGCGGTGTTGGATCTCAACGAGACAGTTTTGTATCGTAATAAAAATTCGAGCAATCGCTACGAGGTAGGTGGCTATGCAGCAAGTTAGTCTTTCGCGGTCTTCGCGCTTTTTATGCTCGATTTCTCTAGGACCAACCCTTCTACTCATATGCATGTGAAGAGTACATGTCGCTTTCTAAAACAGTAGTCAGCCGCAAAATAGAATGTGACGACAAAAATCAGGCCGTAAAATGCTGTTTTCGCTATTTCTTCAAGTAAAGAAGATGCACTTGCAGGCCTCTCTTCTTCCGGAGTTCACCACAATTCCTTTCGATGGCAAAGTCACGTTAGACCAACCTGCGCTGCGCCTGAGCGAGCAGATGACTGATATAGAACGCCTACAATTAGACCCTGTTGAAGAACTATGTCACGGGCCTCCAGCTTGGTTATGGCACTATTTGAGGAGAAGCAAGATGGTAAGGAATATTTGTGCTGTCCGCTTTTTATCAGTGATTAGGCAGTAGTTTAGGGTGGTTTCTTTTTACCGCTTTCGGGTGGACAGGACAGCTCTTCGGTTGCTGCCATGGTTCGGCTAATGTGCAACAAAGTATGTGGAGCTGTGAAGCACCGTAGGCTCACCGACGGTGAATTCATTCTGTTTTCTAGACGTGGAATGGAAGCTTTAGAGCGCTTAACAAGTTTCTGAAACGTCTTGCAAGAATTGGTTTTCTTTCAACGTTCGTGCTCTTTCACTTGATTTTTTTGACTGCCCTATTATTGTTGTAGGTGGAGATGATCCTGCTTATTATTTGAATGGAGAACGTGTTGGTGAAGATCCAGCCGAACTGTGCCATAAGGTAGCCGTTCGATTGTTTTTATTGAACCTTGTTTTTTAAATGTATGTTCAGATCTTCTTTACGTGCTACATGGCTAGTGAACACTCTTCCGCCGAAACAAGGGCGTGTGCTGATGGTTTAGCAAAGGACATAAACAGTAATCATTCCAGGTTTTGTATGCATCACATTCGACAATGTTTAAAGCGCTTAGCTCTAGTTGTATTATTTCAGCATGTTCATTGACACGGTTGTATCTGCCGCATTGTCTGCATTCAAGCTTGCAAAAGGGTTCATACCGAGTTTTGATGTGGGTTAATTTGTTAATCCGTTAGTTTTTATGATGGTCTTCACTGCTAAATTATAGAGTAATGATTCTCGGGAAGGATTAGCCCTGCAAAATTTGCAAGCGAGAATAAGAATGGTTTTTTCTTACTTGTTTGCACAGCTATCTCTCATAAAGGAAGGACGACCAGGGAGCCTCCTTGTATTAGGTTCATCTAACGTCGATGAGTTGTGAGTTTTGACCTTCTGTCTTCTTCCATAACCTAGCATTGGATCTGTCATGATTTGCATCTTAGGCTGGTTGGTTATTTGACAAAATATGACTGCTCGTCTGCCGATATCAATCCCATAGGGTCAGTCAGCAAAGTGGATTTACGCAATTTTTTGCGTAAGGTTCATGACGAACATGGAATGACGTCATTGAAAGCGTGAGTAGCGATTGTTTTCGGCCCCCAGATATTCTTTTCGTTCCATCTTTTGTTAGATGTCTTGAATAATCGTTTTCTTAGGGTTATCGATTCTGTTCCAACTGCGGAACTCCGACCACTTGTGAATGGAGCCATATCGCAAACGGATGAGGTTCGCTTTCATAGTTTGCTAAGTTTTCTTTTGAAACTTGAATAAGTAATTTCAGGATGAAATAGGTCTCACCTACGACGAATTGTCAGTTATTGGACAGATGAGGCGTCCACGGTGTTTGGGACCATATGCGACATTCTTAGCTCTTTGTTCCATCTGGTATCCAAAATATTCTTACGAAGAGGTATGCAGTGCATATTCTTATTCAGAAAAGTCAGACAACATTATGGAAGCTGTTTCAGATCGAGAGTAAGGTCAAGAACTTTTTCTGGCGGTATCGTGTCAACAGACACAAGGCCACTGTAGCAACTCCGGGTGAGTTATTTGCAGCAGCCTTTGTGACGTATTGGGAAGCGTTTCTGTGTATATGGTGTTTGTGTCGAGCACATATTGTAAAGATTTTCAGCATATTATGCGAACTGGTATAGTCCAGATGACCATCGTAATGACCACAGACCATTTTTATACCCTGACATGGAGCACCAATTTGAGATGATCAGGGCAAAGGTGAGCGCCTCTCAATCTTTTTTTTTTTAATTCAGAGTAGGCCTTCCAGCGGTACTGGGTTGTCTTTCGCTGATGTTCTATTCGTTTTTACTAACTGTCTGGCTTATATGTTATAATTTTTTCTATAAAAGGATAAAGGATAAAGCATTTGCCGTTGATCAATCCCTTTTTGGGATGCGGCACGCATTCTACTTCCATTTGTACATTCGTAGTGGCGTTTGAATGCGGCCTATACAATGACTTGCGGGGGCCAGCCGATGTACAAGTCAGTGTTTTTATCCTCCCAGACAAGTCTGGTACCAATTAACCGACCCCGGAGGGATGGAAGGCTTGGTTGGCCCGGGCGACTCACGACCCAGGATTTGATCCCCGGACCGCTCGCGTGGTAAGCGTGCCACTTGCCACTACACCACTTCCGCCCTTTTATATAATTTTCGTTAATACGATTTTATATACGTACTTGTTGCAGAGTGAGGTTAGGATGACATCGAGGTTTTTGAATATCTATTTGCAGGTGGTCGAATTGAGTGCTGCCGCTCAAAAATAATCCACGTCGTCTTGCTCCACAATCGCCTCAGAGTCAGAAGGAATAGCACTACTCATTCAATTGGATCTTTTTTTAGACCATTGTTTGACATTGCTTGTGTTGTCATTGAATTAGGACATTAGGAATACGCAATGATGCTCCTCAGATTATTTCAATGTCGGATGTGTTTGATATTTTATAACCCGCCTCCACAAGCTTTTGTATCTGATACTGTCAATCCATGTCCTTTTCCTAGGGCTTCGACGATTTCGCTACTTCTACCTTAACCTTTATATAAACTTATCAGTCACGCTTTACCCTATTATGCATGCAAACTTACTACTCACGCTTTACCTTATTAAGTATGCAAATTTATCACTCTTGCACCTTATTATGTATCTTCGCTCCTGTCTTATCCTACCTCATTATGTAGCTTTAGAGAATAAATTTGTATTTACGAAGTTTTTTCTTCGTTTATTGGCCTGTTCCATGTCGTCTTCAAACTACCGCTCTCGTAGTCATCTTAACACGCTTGAAAATATTGAGTTCACTGAAGAGTCTAATGGCAACGACTTCGGACGGTCCCAGTCAACTCTTCGTTGGCTCATTACCAGTTACACTATTACAGCCGAATAAAAACGGACCTGAATATATGTGAGTTTTCTCACAGCACAATAATTAGTGCTTTCAGTCGTCCATTCCATCAATTTTCTTCTGTTTTTGTTGTTTTAATGGGGGCCCCGCACGCAGGAAACTGTACGGTGTTTTCTTTGTCTCTACGACACTGTTCATTAGGCCGATTTTAGGTCAACTGTCGCAGATGTGGCCTTGAAAATCGTGGAACGAAGGCACGACAGTGGGGAGAAGGTGGGTGTTGATCCGATGGGTTGCTTATGTAGACAAAGAGGATAGCGTTGATATTTTGTAAAGGAAGTAATTATTTGCTGCTTTTTCAGGAATATCGCATGGAGATCAGCCGACCGGATGACTTCGAATTCCTATATGCGGAGGGCATAACACGGACAAAATATCAGGTTTGTCGTCGAGTGGCCCTGTTGCGAAAATGGAGAAGTTTTTTGTTTAGACACTGGCAAAAACGTGGAACTTGAATGTTGACTTCGACGACTTTCCCGGCTAGAATAATTCGCCTACTACGAGAACGAGTTGGAGCAACTTCACCTGTACAGCTCACATGCACTTTAAACCAAGACCTAAGCATTTGCACGTAGGTATTTATTTTCGTTTCGAGTCTGTCAGCGTGAAATTTAGGATGCAGCAAAATTTGGACGCCCCACAACCGAATTTGCACTTAGTCTCAGAGCAGGAAGTTCAACCTCTTTGTTGGCTTGTTTTTCTTTGAGACGACATAGCGTTTAGGTCTTACCTTCCAATCAGTCCTTTTGTTCATTATTCCTAAATGTATGGACCAACCAAACTTTGGGTTGACCTTAACATAAGAGATGACTTCTTGGTGGACAATATTGGGTTACAATGAAGAAGATAAGATGAAAAAAATTGAAAAAGACGCAATGCAAATATGCAGAATGAAATTAATTGTCGTCTCATGTAGGATTTTCTTACGTTGCTTTCCCCTTTGAACTGGTGCGGGAAATGGTCAAGTAACGCCGTTAATATACAAGCCATTCTTGTGAAAACAGGTGTTTCAAAACACTTTTTGAAGACTCTCTCTTCCATACATGATGGCTATTCGAGCGAATTACCCTACCATTAGTGTTCCATGTCCCTGAGAAGCCAGTGTGGGTCTCTTCAGAACCTATGATATACCGGAGGAACCAGTTCGTGTCCGATGACGCCATGGAGCCGGCGTCCCCGAAGGAGTTGCTGAGTGCGCAGGCTCTCTCGAACATTGGACACTGGCTTTTTAGGGCATCGCTCTTTTTTGGATATGGAACGGTTAGAATCGCTCGAATCGCTGGCGATTGGTCGCGAATTCTGACACCTCCTTTAACAATATCTGAATCCACAAAAAAGGATAAAGCATTTGCCGTTGATCAATCCTTGTTTTGGGATGCGGCACGCATTCTACTTCCATTTGTACATTCGTAGTGGCATTTGAATGCGATGTGGCCTATACAATGACTTGCGGGGGCCAGCCGATGTACAAGTCAGTGTTTTTATCCTCCCAGATGGTACCAATTAACCGACCCCGGAGGGATGGAAGGCTTGGTTGGCCCGGGCGACTCACGACCCAGGATTTGATCCCCGGACCGCTCGCGTGGTAAGCAGTGCCACTTGCTACTACACCATCGCCCGAATTCAAATACATGGTGGAATTTTGCTCATAACGAACATTTACTGTCCAAGACAGCTAGTATCGCAGCTCATAGCTTTAATTTAATTTGTGTGATGGTTTTTCTGTTCAGGTTCGAAATGGTCCACATTATTGATATGTATACTGTGCGGATGCCGATTGAGTTACGAGCTGTTCGTGACAAAGACTTGTTATGTCACATTATGAACAATATGCGTTCCTTGCAGGTATACTTACGAAAAGGGAAATATTTCGGTCAAGCGGCGCTATATGTTGACTAATGTATTGTTCAGAAGCAAGTGTGCAAATTGAAAACGGAAAAGAAACATGTGGAAAATGAACGCGATGAGCTGAAGTGCATGGTGGACGATTTGAAAGAATTCCGTTCGAAAGCAGATCAACGGATAGCCGAGTTGGAACAAAGGGTGAAAGATGCTGAGAAACGAGCGGCAGATGAGACCTTGCGCAGAGAAGAGTTTGAGCAAGATCTTCAGGTATGGGTTAGGCTTCAACCGGCAAAGCGTTGTATTACCCTTGAGTCAATGACCGAACTGGTTTTCTGTCACTAATAACTCATTACTTTCAGTTGGAACGTGACGAGCGCGATTCTGCTCTGGGTACGATTGAACATTTGAAAGACGAGCTTTCGGAAGCTGAGAGAAAAACGCGTGAGCTCGAAGAAGAGCTCGATCAGTGTGAAGAAGAGTGCGAAGAGCTTGAAGGAAAGGTGAGCAAAAAGAAAAAAAACTGCAGTGTAAACTTGTGAAGATTTAATTCATCACCTTGTTTGCGGCGAACGATACTTTGGTGCAGGTTGTCGAGCACGGCCTACAACGCGCACTATCTGGGTCGAACGCCTGCTCGAACATCATCCAGGCCGATCGAGCCTCTCATCCCTCCGAATCGTGAGGAATAGCGATGCTTTTTTTGAAGGGCGGAGTGACTTCAAATTGGCTGGCCTGTAATTCATTGCAAAATCAAATCGCATATAAGTGCTCCTGCGGCTCCAAGCGTATGTAGAATGCGTGGCGCGTCTCAAAAGTGACTGATTTATGTCGATAGCTCAACACTTTTATCCTCATTGTGGCTAGAGTCAGGTGACTTTCATACTTTGTTAACTCGAAAGTGATTTACTCCAGCCTACTCCAAATAAATGAATCTTTTGTAATTTTGGAGAATACGGTATATTTTCCAATTGTCAGGTGGGATGTAAAAGTTTGGCGAAAGTAGTACTTCTCCAACGAAAATTATGCTTATCGATTCGTTATAGATCAAGAAGGGAATTGTATTGTTTTATAGTTGCGGGAGTCGGAATTATCGTGCAGTCGTTTACGTGGCGATAAAGAAAAGCTTGTGGTCGCATTGGACAAAGCGAAGAAAGATCTAAATAAGGCAAACCACGTCATATCGAAATATTTGAAGGTTAGCAAAGTTCTACTTCTGGTCTGCCTTCTATTACACGTTGAGTTTGTAACCATGCTGAGCTGGGTTCCCATTCAAGGGCGAAACCCGGAGTCCCTCCGAAAGAAGTCTGGATGAAAGGAAAGACGAAATGGCTGCTGACTTGAAAATGAAGGAGTCCCTCATTGATGATATGACAGGTGAACATACTTTTGCCTCCCTTTATATGGTGTTCAGCTTATTTATTGCAGCGTCCATAGCTGATTACAAGAAAAAAGTGGACGATTTAAGCAGGGAAAACAAAGAACTTCAAGAAACTTTGCAAGTCATGGAAGCTGAACGGTCACGAAATGCTCGAGGTCACTTCAAAGCTTATCAATTTCTTTTTTCATTTTCAAAAGATCGCTTTCAGTAATTGAAATGTATCGCAATCAACATCGTATTGGTTCCACGCTCCCGACTGGTGCATCTCCTCCGATGTTCCCCGGAATCGGTAATAATGCTTTATTAAGTGGCCGAACCAGCCCGCTACTTGGGTGCGTGCCTACGACGCCTACTAACTTCAGAAATGTCTTGGGACGAACTCTGGTGAGCATGTCGTTGCACGTCTTTGTGAATCTTTTTTTTTAATTGAGGGCTGATTGTGTGTTTCATGTGGATTTATTTGTTTAACACATTGCGAACCGCCCTTA